TCCCATGCTACCTGGCCACCCTGCAGGTCTCTCCCCAGATGACAGGAGACCAGGATCCTAGAGGAGACTGATGCCCAAGGTCACGTCCCTCGTGCGCGCTTACCGCCAGTCCCAAGGCCTTGCACCGCCCGCGCACGACCAACTGGGCAGCATTTCTGCGCCGCCAGGACCAGCCTGTCATTGCGGCCAGACCCAGCGCCCAGGTGGAGCGAGAGCCACGGCCCGTGGATGCGCAACGCCCAGTCCCCGGGTCCCCGGGCCCCGTCCTCTGACCCTTCGTCCCTCTCCACCGGGGCTCGCCCTGGACCCTTTGCTCCTTCTGGGTTCCCAAGTCCAGCCCCTCCTGTCCTCACCCTGGTCCTCTCCTCCCGAGTCCCCGCCGCCCGCCGCCCTGCGTACGGGTGACGCAGCGCCGCCTCCCGCTCCCGCCTCCCGGCGCCACGGCCCGGCGGACTGCAGGGGCCGCTAACGGTCCCGCGCTCGGTGCTCTGGGTGAAGCGGCAGCGCTGCGCCGTCTGCCTGGAGCCCGCGCGGGCGCTGCTGCGCTGGTGGCGGAGCCCCGGGACCCGGCCCTGCACGCCCGGCGCGGGTGAGTGAGCCCGGTCCGGGGTTGGTGGGGTTGGGTGCTGCAGCCACCCGGGCCTGCGCCGCAGGAGCGCACCGGAGAGGCGGGGAGTTGGGGGACTGGGGTACACCCGGAGGGAGGAGGCTGAGGTCCCGGAAGGGAGGAGGCCGGGGGTCCCAGAGAGGAGGAGGCGGGTCCTTGGAGGGGAGGAGGCCGGGGTCCTGGCGGGAGGAGGTTGGGGTGTGGAGGGGAGGAGGCCGGGGTCCTGGAGGTGGGGAGGCCGGAGGTCCTGGAGGTGGGCAGACCTGGGGTCCTGGAGGGGAGGTCTGGGGACCCAGGGGGAAAGAGGTCAGGAGCAGAGGGAGAGGAGGCTGGGCCGGAGGCACCAGACTGGGATGCTCAGAGGCAGCTGGCAGGGATCAGGCCTGTGCTGAGGACCCAGACTCTCCTGGGACTGGGATAACAAAAAAGCCTCTGGAGGTGCTGGACGGGGAGGGGAGGGGTCCGTGTGCATAGCCCCCTGTGGGCCAGCGGGACCCCAGGGGGAGGTCTGCTACTGGAGCTGTCTGGGGGATGTGTGGCACACCTGGACAGGACTGATCTTCAGCTGTCCCCTCTCATCCCCCCACATCTCATAAGTCCAAGGACACACTTCTTTTTCCAAGATCCCCAAAGCAGAGGCTCTGGGGTAGGCTTCCTGGGCTTAGGCAGATAAGAAAGGGCTTTGGCTCTCTGTTGAGGTCTGCTGGGTGCTTAGACTGAGAGTTGACCACAAGCCCCTCAGAGGCCCTCAGGTCACTCTGATAAACAGGAAGGATGCACCCCATCCCAAAGGCCTGCGCAGTGGGCCCGCTGGGACAAGGACTTCAGGGCCACCTTCCCCACTGGCTTTTTTTTTTGCAGAACTGTCTGGTGACTTAGGGATTGGCAGAGGCTTATAAAGATGTCATTCAGTCCTCCCAAGGACAGGGAGGATTATAGAAGATTGTGTGTGGATACAAGTGGGGGTACCCAGGGCTGGCCACGAGGGTGTGCTCAGGTTCATTTGTTGCTTTTTAAATATTTTTACTTTTATGTGTATGAATGTTTTGCTTGCGTGTATGTAAGTGCACCCGTGTCGTTCAGTGCCCATGGAGGCCAAACGTGGGTGTTGAATTCCCTGGAACTAGAGTTACAGATGGTTGTTAGCCATCATATCGGTCCTCTGCAGTAGCAACCAGTGCTCTTAACCACTGAGCCATCTCTCCAGCCCCTCATTCATTGCTTTTTGTTGTTTTTGTTTTTTTTGAGATAGTCTCCCTACGAGGTCCAGGCTAGCTTCAAACTGGGATTACAGACATGTGCCACCAATCTAATTTCTCTCTCTCCCCTCTCCCCTCTCCCCTCTCCCCTCTCCACTCTCCACTCTCCACTCTCCCCTCTCCCCTCTCCACTCTCCCTCTCCCTCTCTCCTGGGGATGGTGGAATCCAGGGCCTGCAGCATGCTAAGCATAGGCTCTACCACCAAGTCTCTATTAAGCGCCTGCTGGGACTGTTGCACCTTAGCCCAGCCCAGCGTGTGTGATGAAGACTCTGGTGCAATGGGACCTTTTCCATTAAAGGAGGCACAGAGAAACAGATAGGGAGACTGTGTCTGATGTGTTTGGGCCCTGAGAAGAGCCTCCCAGGGTAGGCATCTGGGTTGAGCCATGGAGGTGTGGTCACTGTTCAATGCAGCGTGGGTTGAACATCTATCACCTTCATGATGATGTTTGACCAGAAAGACCTGGAGAGACCGGGTGTTGTGTGTGTGAGGGGGAGACTGGTGTGGGCACGAGGAACAGTGGGTTCAAAGTCCCCAAGACATCAAGAGACCAGTGTGGCAGGAGTGGGGTGGATGGGGTGCAGTGGGAAAATGGGGCACAGGACTCCTACAGCCTGGCAGACTGAGGTGGGCACTGACCTTTACAGTGCATGAGGTGGGGTCCCCTGGAGGGTTATATCCTGCTTAAATTTTTTAAAAAATATTTTTATTTTATGTGTATGGGTGTTTTGCTTGCATGTAGGTAGGTGCACCCATGTCGTGCGATGTCCGCAGAGGTCAGAAGAGAGTATTGGATTCCCTGGAACTGAGTTACAGATGGTTGTTAGCCACCATGTGGGTGCTGGGAATCAAACCCAGATCTTCTGCAAGAACAGTCAGTGCTCTTAACTGCTGAGCCATCTCTCCAGCCCTTGTATCACGCTTAACTTTTTAAACAGATCTTGTGACCTCTTCAGGGAAGACAGGCAGAGGAGGGACAGGGCAGAGTAGGCAGGCAGTTGGCCCAGTCTAGATGGGGGTGGCAGGCCAGATTGGGGTTTGGTAGGAGAAGCCTGAATTTTCTTTTAAGAATTATTGGGGGTGGGAGTGGTGAGAGTCAGGTGGATGTTCTGAGTTTGGGTTGCCGTTCATTCACTCTGCGTGCTAGGCGTGGACTCCAAGGCCTTACAATGTTGGGCAAACACTAGGAGCTACACCCCAACCTGGAATGGTTTATAGGGCCTTGTGGGTAGTTGAGACCTGTAGGTGCTTTGATGCTGTGTTGTGAGGCTCTGAGGACTGAAATGAATGTAGGTGGGGCTGAGGTGGCCTCAGACTAAGGACCCACATCTGGTTTCTAGCCACAGGATCAAAGCAGCTCAACACCTCTCTCCCAAGTGTTCTCCACCTCCCTGTGAAAATGAAGCAAGGTGGCAAACAGTGGATTAGGAAGAGGAAGACACCCTCTATTTTCAGCTCACACAGAATCTGGTGCTTGTTAGATTAAGGCAAGCTTAAAGTCAGTGGGGTCAGCCAGGTGAGCTATGAGCAGTTAGCCAGTGGCAATTACAGCTCTGCCACACCCCAGGTGTGTTCAGACACACCTGGATTAACTAGGTTGGAAGCCATGGGTAGAGGATTGTGTAAAAACAGGAGCAGGAGCACTTGAGGAGCCCAAGGACAGGAGGCCAGCAGGGACATTGCGCACCCTGCTGGGTGACCCTCCAGCCACCGGGGTATTTCATCTACTCCTTCGTTTTCTCTTGCTTTAGACACGAAAACTGGAAAGTCTAAATCGCTTACTCCCAGGTGCCTGGTGTGCAGGAGCCGCTCTAAACCCAGGCATAGCCCTGGTGTGCCACTGTGGGAGCAGCTCAGCCCAGCTAGAGATAAGAACTCTATCTTGGGAGAGGGAAGTCTGTACAGGAGGAAGCTGAGCCAGCAAGTGCTTCTCTGTCCCAGAGCCTCAGCGGAAGTGGGGCAGACTAAAAACAGGAAATTGGTGGCGGGACTTCTCTAAGTGGGTCACTGGTTGAACTTGAGAGCGTGAGAAGCGACGTCTGGACTGCTGTGCCTGCTGCAGTGAGGCACACTGAGATAAGCTCCGCATTCAAGCTTTAAAAGTATAGGCTGACAGCCAAGTGAGGTGGCTCACGCCTCTAGTCCCAGCACTTGGGAGGCAGAGGCAGGTGGATCTCTGTGAGCTCAAGGCCAGCCTGGTCTACATAGTGAGTTCCAGGACAGCTGGGGCTACAGGGAGACCCTGCTTCAAAAAGACAAAAAAAAAAAGAGTACGGGCTGAGTGGTGTGTGTCGTGCGCTGGGGGCTCATGGGCGATGTGAGGGCCACTGCCCAGGCTTTACCTTTGTGGGAAGACCTTCCCCTGCCCTCCACACCCTCCCCCCAACCTGGATGCCCCAAAACTGACAAGCTCATGGGCAGGTGATTGCTGTGTGTCCTCAACACCAAAAATGTGGCTAAATATAAACAAGATTACCAAAATAAATCATGGGGCTGGGAGTGTAGCTCAGCTGTAAAGAGCTTCCCTAGCACACACCAGGCCCTAGGATGGGTCACCAGCACTCCACTCCCCCAAATCATGGCAATTTAATAACATCTAGAAAGAGAAAAAAATTACTTTATTACTATACTTGGTATGTCTGTGTATGTAAGTCTACATTGAAGAAAAGTGAAAGAAATGGCCATAATGTTGTCCGTATTACAGTTTACTTTTGTGAAACATAGTTTTCAAAGGGAAACTATTGAGGTCTAATTTTCCTGCAATAAAACCCTCATATCTTAAGAGCACAGTTTGATGAGTTTTGATAACTATGCACCTGTGTAAGTATCGCCCAGGTCAAGATAGGGCACAGGAGTCACAGCCCAGAATCTCCTCTTACATTTGGAGGGTAGAGCTCTGTCCTGCCTTCTCTAAGGTATGGGTTTCACTTTGCAGGTGGTTCATAGAACATAACCACACAGCCCAAAGTGCATCTAATGCTTCATTTCTCCTTCCTGGGTTTAAGTGCCATGTACAGAAAGTTAATTCTTTTTGATTGAAAATAGTGCTGCATCGTGTGTGTGTGTGTGTGTGTGTGTGTGTGTGTGTGTGTGTGTGCGCGCGTGTGCGTGTGCATGCACGCACTTAGTAGTTCACCTTTTTACCTGTTGGTGGAGTTTTGGACTCTTTCCAATCTTCCATTGTGTGAGTCAGGGTTCTGGGACCCTATGGGAACATCTGCTTTCACTTGCTTTGACAATAAGGAATTATAAAACTTCTGTAAGGTACCATAAATAAGATAAAGATAAGGGTGATATCTGCAGCACATGTGATGGTAAAACTTAAACATTTAAAAAATTTTAAGCTTCTATAAAAGTTGAAGCCAGGTGTGGTGGCACATATTTGTAATCCCAGGATTTAGGAGGCAGGAAGATAGATGATTGATAGGTAGATGATAGGTAGGTAGGTAGGTAGGTAGATAGATAGATAGATAGATAGATAGATAGATAGATAGATAGATAGATAGATAGAGATGACCTTCACAGAAACAGTCTCTGGAATGGAGGTCAAGCACCTGAGTGGACGCTACAGGGATGCTATCCTTAGCCCATGGACCGAGAGGTTGAGACAGGAAACAAATGAGTTAGAGCTGATTCAGGGAACCATCCAAGTGGGCACAGCTGGAGGACCAGAGTGGGAACTGCTGTGCTGTTTTTTGGGAAAGAACCTGGTAATATTTTG